TAGTGTCTTCTGCAATTTCTTTCTTTAACTTTTTATAGTTCTCATTAAATAGTTCTTTTACATCTTTGGTTAGGTTAATTCCTAAATATTTTATTTTTTGGGAGGTTATTGTGAATGGGGTTGCTCCCTTTATTTCCCTCTCTTCCTGTGCGTTATCAGTGTATAGGAAGGCAACTGATTTTTGTGGGTTTATTTTGTATCCTGCTATTTTGCCGAAGTGACTTATGATTTCTAAAAGTTTGGGGATGGAGTTTTTGGGATCGTGGAGGTATAGTATCATGTCGTCTGCAAAAAGGGATAGTTTCACTTCTTCTTTCCCTATGCGGATCCCTTTAATGTCTTTTTCTTGCCTTATTGCCCTGGCTAAGGGTTCTAGGACTATGTTGAAGAGGAGTGGAGACAGTGGACATCCTTGCCTTGTTCCTGTTTTTAGGAGGATTGGTTGTAGCTTTTCCCCATTAAGTATAATATTGGCTATTGGTCTGTCATAAATGGCTTTTATTGTTTTTAGAAATGTTCCTTCTATTCCTATTTTCTCCAGAGCTTTTAGCATGAATGAATGTTGAATTTTATCAAAGGCCTTTTCTGCATCTGTGGCGATAATCATGTGATTCTTGACCTTGGCTCTGTTGATATGCTGGATTACATTTATTGACTTACGTATGTTAAACCATCCCTGTGTCTCTGGGATGAAGCCTACCTGATCATAGTGTATTATTTTTTTAATGTGTTTCTGGATTCTGTTAGCTAGAATCTTGTTAAGGATCTTTGCATCTGTGTTCATCAAGGAGATTGGCCTGTAATTCTACTTTTTGGTTGGGTCTTTGCCTGGTTTGGGGATGAGTGTGATATTGGCTTCGTAGAATGAGTTTGGGATAGCTCCCTCCTTCTCTGTTTCTCTGAAGAGCTTGAGGAGTATGGGTATTAGTTCTTCTTTAAAGGTCTTATAGAATTCTGCTGTGAATCCATCTGGTCCTGGGCTTTTTTTTGTTGGAAGACTTTTGATAGCTTCCTGTATCTCATTATAGGATATTGGCTTATTTAATTGGTTAACTTCTTCTTTGCTCAGTTTGGGTAACTTGTATTTCTCTAAAAATGCATCCATTTCCGCCAGATTTTCTTCCTTTAGAGAGTATAGCTTTTGAAAGTAGTCTGTTAGAATTGTTTGGATATCTTGGGTACGTGTTGTGATGTTTCCCGTGGCATCCCTAATCCTATTAATATGGGTTTCCTCTCTTCTTTTTTTAATTAATCTTGCCAACGGGCCATCAATTTTGTTTATTTTTTCAAAGAACCAGCTTTTTGTTTGGTTTATTTTGGTTATGGTTTTCTGATTTTCTAATTGGTTAATCTCTGCTCTCAATTTGGTTATCTGGCTTCGTCTAGTAGCTTTAGGTCCCATTTTTTCTTGTTTTTCTAGCTGTTTTAGTTGCAACATGAGATTATTTACTTGGTCTGTCTCCATTCTCTTGATGTGGGCACTGAGGGCAATAAATTTGCCCCTCAGGACTGCTTTTGCTGTGTCCCACAAGTTTCTTTGTGAGGTGTTTTCATTTTCATTGAGTTCTAGGAAATGCTTTATTTCTTCTCTGATCTCTTCTGTTACCCAGGCCTTGTTAAGGAGTGTGCTGTTCAATTTCCATGTATTAGAGAAATTTCTGCGGTATGCTTTGTTATTGAGAGCTAGCTTGATTCCACTGTGGTCAGATAGGATACAGGGGATTATGTCGATCCCTTTGTATTTGCTTAAGTTCCTTGAATGAACTATGATATGGTCTATTTTGGAGAAAGTTCCATGAGCTGCTGAGAAGAATGTGTACTGTGTTGTTTTAGGGTGAAATACTCGGTAGATGTCAGTTAATTCCGCTTGAAGTATGGCCTCACTTAATTCGGTAGCTTCTTTGCCAATCCTCTGGTTGGTAGACCTGTCCTTTGGTGAGAGTGGCGTGTTAAAGTCTCCTAGTATTATCGTATTGGGATCTATTTTATTCTGTAAGTTTGAGAGCATTTGTTTAACATATCTGGGTGCACCGATATTTGGGGCATATAAGTTGATGATGGTTATATCCTCCTCTTGGATTGTTCCCTTTATTAATATGTAATGTCCGTCCTTGTCTTTCTGTACTGATTTTAATGAAAAGTTTATTTTGTCAGATATCAGGATAGCTACACCTGCTTTCTTATTGGGGGAATTTGATTGGTAGATCCTTTTCCACCCCTTCACTCTGAGTTTGTTTGTATGTTTGGCTGAGAGGTGGGTCTCCTGAAGGCAACAGATGGATGGGTCTTGTTTTCTGATCCAGTCCTCAGTTCGTTTTCTTTTAATTGGCGAATTCAGCCCATTTATATTAAGAGAAAGTATAGAGAGATGCATTGTTGTCCCTGCCATTCCGTTTTCCTAAGTTTTTCTTCTTTCCTTTCCTCCTGTGCTTGCTCAGTTAGACTTTGAGTACTGCCTGTTTGGGGCAGGTCCCAGTTCCTGGTTGCTTTCTTCAGGTTGTGTCCCCCCTCTTAGAATTCTTTGTAATGCTGGCTTAATGTTTATGTATTCATTTAGTTTTTCTTTGCTATCAAAAGTTTTCAGTTCTCCATCGAATGTGAATGCTAGCTTTGCCGGGTATATCAGTCTGGGTTGGCAGTTATTGGCTCTCAGGGCTCGTATGGTGCTTTCCCAGGCTTTTCTTGCATTCATTGTTTGTGTGGAGAGATCTGCAGTGATTCTAATTTTTTTCCCGTTGTAGTATAGCTCCTTCTTCATTTTTGCTGCATGCAGGATTGTTTCCTTATTATTCAGATCCATCATTGTTACTATTATGTGCCTAGAAGTGTTTCTCCTGGGATCTTGCTTGTTGGGTGTTCGATAAGCTTTTGTGATGTAGTTAAGATGGTCGTTTTTGAGGTGGGGAAAATTTTCATTGACTATCTTGTTAAATAGGTGTTGCATTCCCTTGCTCTGGAATTCCTCACCTTCGTCCACTCCGATTATGCGAAGGTTAAATTTTTTAGCATTATCTGCTTGCTCTTGAATTTCCCTTTGGTTTAATTTGAGTGATTTTTCCATATCTGTCACTTTTTGGTCCAGTTGGTGTATTCTGTCTTCTGTATCTGACACTCTACCTTACATTTCATTCACTCTGTTGACCGTGGCTTCTATTGTGGTTTGCATGATGGAAATGGATCCCTTTATGGATTCAATGTTGGTTCTCAGAGTACTGATCTCACCTCTCAATGAGGTGATATCAGTATGCATTACCTCTAATTTGGCGTTTATCTCACTTCTTACTGAGGTTTGTGCAGCTTCTATTTTTGCATCCAATTTTTGTTTGATATCCTGTATATCTTTTGATAGTTCATCCTTGTGCTCTTTCAATTTCTGATCCATTTCTCGCTTTATTTCTTGAGTCATTGCCTCCAGCAACCCTTGGATGTAGTTTTTGTCTTCCATTCCTGCTTTGCTCCCACTGGGGCTCTCCCCTGCGTGGCTGCTGGCTTTTGAGGTGAGCTTGCTGTCCTGGGTAGTGGTAAACCTTGTGATTTTTCTCTGTGATTTTCGCATGGGGGTTCAGGAGACTGCTCTTCAATCTTGTTTTGGTGTGTCTGTCTTTGCTTGGTTGCTGATTCTCTATTGGTAGAGAGAGTCTGTGTCTGATCTGGATTCTGTTGGGAGCCTATTTCCAGCTGCTATTCACTTAGGATTCTCAGCTCTCTGCTGTAGCAATTCCCGCCTTTGGAAGGGTTGAGCAGCCTAGACTGCTTGTGTTTGCTCCTGCGGGTGCTCTTGGGAAGATCAGATGCTCTGGATGCACTCTCCCAAATACTGGAGTCTGCTATGGGCTCCTGATGTGTTTTTGTTTGTTTTGGGCTGGTTGTGGGCTTGAACTCTAGGTTTGGGTGCTGTCCCTCAGCTCTTCAGCTCAGGGCTGGCACCCTACCATTTGAGCCACAGCCCCACTTCTGACCCTTTTTGCTTTGTTCAGGCGCCGGTCCCCTGGCCTGGTTCCGGCCCCAGCCTGGAGCGCGCTCGTTAGGCCTGTGCTAATGTGTATACCACCTTGGTTATGCAGCCTGGAGGACACAGTTCAAATTTCTTCTACTGTTGGTAGTCTTGACCCAGGGGCACTGTTCCTGGCTTGAGCATTTAAGCTCCCTTCCCGGGGCGCTCTTGCTCTGGCCTGGCCAGCAGAGTGTGCTCCACCGGCTGGTGGGGCTCTCGAACAGTTCCCAGTTTTAGTGGGTCCTGTGGTCCGGGTGTTGGGGTAGGGAGTCTAGGTCAGGGTCTGGGGATTCCCTCCAGCTCTGGTCTCCCTTGATGGATTCCCTGTCCCCTGATGGGTACTCACCCTGTAGGTCGTCAGTTGTTGTTGCAGTCCGTCAGTTGTTGTTGCAGTCCGAGTTCAGTTGGGGTGGTTGCGGGCTGGGTTGGGCGGCCCCCCGCCGGGTCGTTGCGATCGCGACAGGTCCCTTTGTGGCGCTGCTGGTGCCGGGCGGCTTTGGTGGGATGGAGCCTCTCCGCTCCGGTGGAGAGTGATGGGTGGGGTGGGATCCTCCTGGAGACTCCCGGCTGGTAGGTTTCTCTGTTCCTGGCGATCCGCTGTTCTGCAATCCGGTACCTGGTGATCTGCAAGCAGCCCCCTGTGTCTCTGTGGCTCCGGCAGCCCCCTGCTAATACATTTTTAAAATTAAGAATTATTACATGGTTTAGATAATCAGAGATCATTCAGCCATTACAATTTAGAACTAAGAATAACTCAGTTTTTCTAGTTTAGAAAACAATTTTCAGTTTCTAAAGTAGCTAGGATCCAAATTTATAGTATTCACACTGATATCTCTTAAAATCTCACTATGCTTCAGAACTCCAGCTGCCTGATTTGATGTGGGGAAGCTGTGACTCAGGATGGAACAATATAGCATTTGGGTGGGTGGAGGTGGGCATTACATAATTAATAACGGAGCCATCCATCCCAGAGTGGCCCCTCTGTGATAATTGGTGTTCTCTACAGCTATATATGAGCAGTCTTGTGAAGCCCATAAGTACCAGGGCAAAGACTCTTCAGGACTCTACTACATCGATTCAGATGGAAGTGGACCACTGGGACCAGCTCTGGTGTACTGCAACATGACAGGTATGCTAATAAACTATCCTATAATACTTAAATTCCTGTAAGGTATGCTGTGTGCAGCAGCAAATGACTTCCTATTGGCTGCATAGTATCTAGGCTATCTTGAGCTGAGATCAGAATCAGGCATATTTCTGTTTCTAGTTTCAATGCCAGGTGGCAGAGCTCCACATACTACTGCAATGTATCCATCTATATACTATACTAGAATGCTATGCAGTGAAAACTGACTAGGCTTACTCTCAGACAGTCATAGTGGTTATCATTTTAAGATGGCTTTAGTCAAGCAGGCTGAATTCAAACCGTGTTCCTTAAAAGTCACAAATGTAAGAGTAGGTTGAAAAAGTGTAGCAATACTCTGGCACCTGTTTTGAACTACTGTGCTTTGCCTCTTTGGGAAGTTGTTGTAGTAATCGAACAAAACATGCTTCAGTATTCCAGACTGGAGCCCAGGACAAAGCAAAACATATAGATTATTATGTCATATGACTTCAGATAAACACATATGTATATATAAACAAGCACACACATATGTATTACACATTATGACATACTATAACAAAAATGAGGAAACATACTTTCCATCACAAAAGGAAAATAAATAACTGCCTTACAGTTTGGCTCACAATGAGATCTGAGAATATTAATTGTAATAGTGGATGATTTTTAAATATCTTAAATTACACCAAATCAAAATCTGTTGCCCAGACTTCTTGGGACTTCTTCCATCTGCACACAAGCATAACAGTCATCGTGGCCTGTAGCATACCCCTTAAAAGTTTAGGCAAAGAAAGTTGGTGCAAGTGGCTCACATAATCCCACCTACTTAGGAGGCTGGGATCTGAGGATCATGGTTCAAAGCCAGCCCAGGCAAAAAAGCCCTGTGAGACTCTTATCTTCAATTAACCACTCAAAAACAGGAAATGGCCTTGTGGTTCAAAGTGATAGAGCACTGGCCTTGAGCAAAAAGAGATCTGGGACAATGCCCCGGCCCTGAATTCAAGCCCCATGACTGAAAAAAATAGGTCAGGCAAATGAACATGCAGTTTGGTTTGGTCTGATTAATTGGGATATTAAAACACTAACATCATACATTGCAGTATCCCCTGGTTTCTGTTTATTATGTCAAATTATATCTGCCTTCCCACATGAGAAAATAGCTCTGGACAGTATAAGAGGCATTTACACAAAAATAAATGGTTGGGTAAAAGAAGAAATATGTCTTTATTTTACATTCTTAGCTATACATACACCCAAAGTTGCCAGCTATTCTTGTGTCTATACCTCTCCCCTACATTTAAAGAATGACATAATAGGACACAATAGTCTAATGTATCATCATATGGCATATTATGAAGTAATAGACATAGTAGACATAATATGACACAACAGTCATTTCATGTGATTTCAAAGCTATCTTAAAGATGTTATTTTTAAGATACATGAAAATAATGTGTTGAAAAATATTAGAGAAACATAATGTCTCTTTCTGAAGGTCTGTTAAATAATAATAATTTAAGGATACATCCTTCAAATTGTCTTTTTTGAAGATTAGTTTGAAAATTATCTTGAGCATTTTCCATCTCTCTACATGACTAAAAGTCTGATAATATTTTAACTATGAAACACATTACACCTGTCACACTGACCGCCAGTCTGTGTGAGTTTGTTTTCACAATTAATGATGTTCCCACATCATTGTTTTTTAGTATCATCATCTCTGTAAATAAATGACAAAGTGATATTAGAACTGGTACACTCATAAGCTAGCAAGTTTTCTATCTATCCCTGTTATCTTGGTTCTATTTGATAGAAGAAATCCAGAGGGTGCACAGAATAAATAATTATAAACACTAATGCCAGGTTCATTTATTTGTTGTTCTATGAAACTGTTGTTATATAAATTGCCCAGGAAAAATGTGATTAAAAGAAAATAACCTATGCACTTAAAGTTTCTGCAGAACAACAAAGGAGGAGGTAACAATGCTTGATAGGAGATGTCCTCATTACCTTGCTCATGTAACTGTAAACCCTCTGTGCAGTGTTTTTTTTTTTTTACAATAAAAACATATTAAAAAACAGAAATTCTGATAGCTCCCTTTAGCATCTGTTTTCTAGCACCCTGACAATAAAATGGGCACCAACCTTGATGACTCAGTTTGCACCTGTTCTTGTTAGTTTTCATGAGTTTGGTGATACTGCCCTTCATAGGATTCAGTTGGTATTTTTTCCACCACTTCTTGGTTTCTTCCCTGGATCTGTAGCTGCATGGGATACATTAGGACTCTAAGCACCAGTGGGGCTGTTAGATGTGACCCTTGATACATGGTGCAGAAGAGGAACCAGGCAAATATGAACCTTTTATACCATTATGGTATGAAATGTACTGGGTGGGGTGAGGGATCACAAAAGTCAGTATGGTTTTCTTCTCTTATAAACATTTTGAAGTATGTTTTAATTTTAAAAAATCTTACCCAAAGACCTCCCCATAGGTGATCAATGTAACAGGAGTACATCAAAATCTGTCAGCAGATATTTCCAAGTTTTCAGTAGTGGTGGTTATTGCCAGAAATACTTAATGAGATGTATGAATGTCCACATTGTTTCACTGTCCAACTATTAATGTGTTACTATCACCACACTATTCAATATTTATTTTAGCACTGGTACCAGTGGCTCACAAACATAATCTTAGTGAATTAGGAGGCTAATCTTGATCTGAGGATCAAGATTAAAAGCCAGCCCAGGCAGGAAACTTTATGAGAGTTTTACCTCCATTTAACCAGCAGAAAGCTGCAAGCTGTGGCACCATGGTAGAGCACCATTCTTGAGCAAAAAAGCTAAGGGACCATGCTCACAACCTGAGTTCAAGCCCTCCTTTGGGCTCCCTCTGAAAGGGTGGCTATATATGTTAACTCACTACTGAAATGCTTAATTAGCATGAAGCCTTGGTTTGATCTTGAGTTTGATCTTGAGTACCCTCTACCACCAATACATAATATACATATGTATTGGTTTGATCTTGAGTCCCTTCTACCACAAATACATAATATACATATATATAAATTTATATATACATATATACATAAAGTTTTACATTACATATGGTTACTTTATAATCAGTAAAATAAAACTAATATATTATAATCACTATATTAATGTAATAAATATATTTATAATAAAATATTATGTAAACAACATAATTATATATAATTATAGAAATATACATCTTATATTTCTATGATATGTTTCTATATGGATGACACATATAGAAATAGATGATATATTTCCATAATTATCTATTACATAAAATATACAGCATGTAATTTTTTGTAACTATATTGGATTCTTTTTTTTCTGGAGGAAGGACAGTTTTATTATTTTCATGTACAGAGAAATCAACATTGCACACTTAGCCCAGCTTAGTGGCCAGCTCCTTAGCCTTTGCCTTTTCCAGCCTGGCAATTGGAGCTACAGATTTTGGACCCAGGACATTGCCTCCACAGTGATGACGGATCTCATCATATCTGTCATTGTAATTGGTCCTGATATCCTCCACCAGCTTCGCCAGAGATCCTTTGTCTTCTGAGTTAACCTGAGTGAAGGCAACGGTGGTGCCTGTTTTCCTGTAGAGGAGATTCCCCAGCCTGGCCTTCCCCTTAATGATGCAGTAGGGAACACCCATCTTGCGGCACAGGGCAGGCAGGAATACAACCAGCTCGATAGGTCCACATCATGTGCAATCACCACAAACTGGGCCTTCTTGTTCTCCACTAAGTTATTACTAAGTAATAACCCCTGCTTGAAGGACTGGCGGTCTCTTAGTGGTGACGTCTCCTTTGCCAGCAGCTTTCTTCTCAGCTCGGGCCAACAGTCTCTGCTTCTTCTCTTGTTTTGTTTCTGGCCTGTACTTGTGGGTCGGCTTAAGTAGCTGTGTAGTTGTCTGGCGGTCCAAGGCCTGGGTAAACTGGTTAATTGCACGGGGCACTTTCAACCGCTTGCAGAGGCTTGCCCTTTGGCTCTGCAGCCGGATGTAGTGAGGTCCCTTTTGGGTTGGATGTCCTGTCCAATGCCAAAGTTCTTGGGCCTTTTTTCTTTTTTTTTTTCTTTTTTTTTGGGTCCAGTCATGGGGCCTGAACTCTGGGCCTGGGCGCTGTCCCTCAGCTCTTCAGCTCAAGGCTAGCGCTCTACCACTTGAGCCACAGCGCCACTTCCGGCTTTTTTGTTTTTGCTTATGTGGTGCTGAGGAATAGAACCCAGGGTGTCAGGCATGCAAGGCAAGCGCTTTAACCACTGAGCCACCTTCCCAGCCCCTCTTGGGCCTTTTTTCAAACAGAGGATTTACCACCTTCTTGGCCTCCTGCGTCTTCATGACTGCAGGGGCTGGGCCGGTGCCACCTTATCCCCTTGGCCTTCTTTCCTTTGGGCATCTTGGGTGGCTGGAGAAAGCTTATATTGGATTCTTATTCCTTCTATGTATCTGCTATTTATTTGATTATCAAAGACAAATGTTAATCAGGTGAGGATTATGCTTATTAAAATATAATCATAACACATTTAAAAAATGCCCTCTTCTAATGCTATGTTATCAAACACATTTCACTAAAAGTAATTCCTACAAAAACATGGCCATGTAAATTTCAGTCAAGAACCACTAATACTAACATTCAAAAAACTATACTTATGTTTATTCTACTCTCAAGGATATCTCTTTTTTTGCTTGTTTTGTTTTGGTCAGTCGTGGGACTTGAACTCAGGGCCTGGGCGCTGTCCCTGAGCTTTCTCATTTAAGGCTAGTGCTCTACCACTTGGAGCCAGAGTGCCATTTCCATTTTTCTGGAGGTTAGTTTGGGATAAGAATCTCATAGACTCTCTTGGCTGGGCAGACTTAGAACTACAATCCTCAGATCTCAGCCTCCTGAGTAGCTAGGATTATAGGCGTGAGCCAACCAGTGCCCAGCTGAGACTTTTTTTTAACTAATTCAACTGAGAGATGTTTCTCTTTTGTATATTTATCTTAGCAATTTCAACCTAGTTTTGATGTCCTTTCTTAGTTCAACTCCATTTCTGCCCACCAGATACTGTGTGGACCTCAGCACAGCACAATGGTTCCCGTCTGGTCAGAGTCAAAGGCTTGCAGGAAGATCACCCACAGCCAGTGATGTTCAAGTACAGGGCCAGCATGGACCAGCTGCAGGCCATAGTCAACCATGCAGATCACTGCCACCAGGAGATGACTTTCCACTGCAAGAAGCCCAGGCTCTCAGAGCACCATGGTAAGTAATGAGCCTTAGTAGACTCTGCCATTTGTACTCTGAAGAATCTGTGTAGGCACAGGTTCCTGAGACTCCTGTCTCCATAGATCCCAGGTCACAACTGGCAGTTACAGAGATGTTTTTCCATAGGGTGAAGAGCAAGGCCAGTAGGTTGCTATTTTTTGCTCAAAGTCTGCTCTCAGTCTCATCTGAGCAATAATGATCTCCTTATCAGGCTGCCTTGAGTGAAAAGATTGCTGAACCTGTGGCTTAGTAATGTGAAAGTGGGTATTCAATGAGTCTTTTTCATAGACTGAATGCAATTAGTATCTTAGTACATGCTAATTAAGGAACATATTTGGTACCATACAGTTATTTCAGTACTCAATATAAGGTAACTCTGCTGACAGTTGATTTTTTTTTAGTTCCTGTTGCAAAATATTACTAGGTGTTTTATATTTTCTTTCTTTGAAATTAATCATTTTGCCAGTCATTATATCCCACTGGTCCTTCTGGTAAACCTTCCTTCTGTGCTCGGGCAGGCTGTGGGAATAGAGAAATTCTGGGCACTGTCCTCTGAAGTCAAGTTGCACACCGGTCATTTGGCAGCTGTGGCTTTGGGGGGATTGTTTAGTTTTTCTGAGACTTCACAGTTAACACTGGCCTTACTAGGGCTTGATTGCACAGTGTCTGTACCGTGTGAGAATAAGTGCTGCTTGCTCACAGCTCTCCGGTGGATTAAATTTATAATTAGTGCAAGAAGGGTTGGTACGTATTTTTAGCTGATTGCCACCAAATACATGAGAAAAATGTAGTTGGCCCCACGAGAATAAATACGTGCTGGGGAAGCAGTGTGATGTGGTTATCTAACTACAGAAGACAAGGCAGATAGAGCAGTTCTAGAATTATCCACGCAGTCAGGGAAAAAAATAAATTTCCAAGTCCTGGAATGAAACTCATGCATTAGTCTACTACAGAACAGGGCCCTCTGCTCACATCAGTGAAGAATTTCCCAGAAAGGGCCTGATATTTCTATTGGTTTATAAGTGATTATTGGATTGACTTTTTTTCTGTATTCATAAGAAACATAGGTCCCATGGTTTCCCTTATTTGCAATAACTAGTATATGTCTGAAACAAGCAGAAAAGGTCAGATAAGTTGGTGTTAGGTGAAATGAACCCCAAGATAAGTATTCGAATGTTTTTTCTTTCATGTGATTGTTTCTAACATATTTACAAGATGATTTCTTTGTTGCTTTGTATGTCCCTTCACCCCAGTATAACCCCTGCTCTCACTGTATTTGATGTTGGTATAATTTGTGGAGGGGAAGGGAAAAACAAATCGTTTTAATAGGGATATACAGGTGGACCCATTGCAACAATGAGATGTACAAGACGTTATGTCGAAAAATGAGCTTTACTACTTTGGTGGGGGTAGGGAGGGTGGGAGATGGGAAGGGATGGGAAGGGGAAAGAAAGGAGGAGGCTACAATGCTTGATAAGAAATGTACTCATTATCTTGCCCATGTAATTGTAACCCTTCTATATGGTATTTTCACAAAACAACAACAACAGTAGCTACAAAGTCAAGAATTAGGGGAAAGAGAGGAGAGGGACTTTTAAGCTTCTAAATACTTTTTAAAACTTTTTATTTTATTGTAAAGATGATGTACAAAGCAGTTACAGTTACATAAGTTATGCCTTCCCTGATTTTCTCCCACTTTCCCTCCCCCCCACCCCCATAAGTTGCAAAGTTGATTTCCAACATAGTGTCTAGTGGCATTGGCTTACCCTTGGTCCCATCGTTTCTGATAACTAATGTACAAGACAAAGGGTGCTGAAATCAGCAACAGTGACAACAGGGAATAAAACAGAGGAGAAAAAAATGAAAGACAAAAAAAAACTGCAAACAGTACACTTAAAAAAAAAACAAAAGAAAGGAAAAACAAAGCAAGCACAAAAAAACCCTATTTTTCCTTATTGTGGAGATTATTTCAATTAGTATCTTTTTTTTCTTTCTGGTTAGTCTATAGTAACTATCTTTTTTTTATTGTGAAAATACTGTATAGAGGGGTTACAATTACATGGGCAAGATAATGGGTACATTTCTTATCAAGCATTGTAGCCTCCTCCTTTGTTTCCAGTTCCCATTCCTTCCCATCTCCCCCCAACACTCCTCTTCCTTGCGCGCCCCCCTGGCCCCCCCACACCCCGCACCCAGCCAAAGTTGTAAAGTTTGTTTTTCAACATAATGACTTGTACATCGCATTGTTGCAATGGGTCCATCTGTATCACTATTTAAATGATGTTTGTTCCTTTCCCCTCCACAAATTATACTAACATCAAATACAGTGAAAGGGGTTATACTGTGGGGGAGGGACATACAAAGCAACAAAGAATTGTATGGTCATATGTACATAGCTATTGTACTATTGTGAACCTCTGGTAGGACTATCCTAGGCATGTACTAATTATTATAAAGGATGGAAACTATGTTTCTTTGGATCTGGCTTACTTCACTTAATATGATTTTTTTCCAAGTCTTTCCATTTCCTTATAAATGGGGCAGTGCATTATCTCTGATGGAAGCATAGAATTCCATTGTGTATATACCACATTTTCTTGATCCATTCATACACTGAGGGACATCTGGGTTGATTCTATATCTTAGCTATGGTAAATAATTCTGCAATGCATATAGTTGTGCTGATAGCTTTAGTGTGGCTTTGTTTGTGATCATTTGGGTAAATGCTCAGGAATAGGATTGCTGGGTCATAGGAGAGCTTTGTTTAGTCTTTTGAGGAACCTCCATTCAACTTCCCAGAGTGTTAAGCACTTTTTAAAGGAACAAAATAAGAAGAATTAATTATCTATGCACGCACAAGTTATATGAATTTATTTATTTTTACTTATTTTTTTATTGTGAAAATACTGTACAGAGGGGTTACAATTACATGAGCAAGGTAATGATTACATTTCTTATCAAGCATTGTTATGTACTGCCACCTGTAGACTTTTCAGCACATATTTAATTTAGATAAATATGTTACACACCAAAATTTTTCTGAAACATTTGTTTATTTATTTGGGGTGTGTGTGTGTGTGTGTGTGTGTGTGTGTGTGTGTGTGTGTGGTGTTTGGGCTTGAACTCAGGGCCTCATGCTCTTGCTCAAAGCTAGCATTCTACCATTTTACACATATTTTCATTTCCAGCTATTTTGCTGGTTAATTAGAGATATATGTCACTTGTCTGCCCAGACTGGCTTTGAACCACAATCCTTAGATCTCAATCTCCTAAGTAGCTAAGATTACATAGAGGTTGCAAGCTTTTCATTAGAAACCAGATAAGCAACTAGTGTAGCCTGATATTCCTTAAAAAATGTTGCACTCATTTACTTTGTGTTACCAGTAGATACAAATGAGTGACCAGAATATGGGCATTTACATTTGTAGAAGAAGTAATCCCACCTAGAGCTTTTAGTTTGAGTTTTCATTAGAATGTGGTAATAGGAAAACAGTGTAAGATGGCCTCTCCCTGGGGAGCACAAAACTCTGAAAGTTTTAAAGAAAGAGTAGATGGAAATGACACTTAACGTTAGGTTTTTTTTTTAAAAAGGTTTTATTGTGCAAACATCCCAGATAGTCAGTAGATCAAGATTACAAGAGGAGATTTCGCCCAGCAAGACCAGGACCAAGGTTTAACAACCTTTATGTTGTTTTGGTTTTGTAAGTGAAGAAATCTGGGAAGAACCCTTGGATCTAAAATCTTGCTGGTATTAAGGTAACATTTTCAAACTTTTAGCCTCTTCAGGTTTCCTTAACCTCTCATAATTGGGGGGGGGTATAATTACAACTGACTAAGGAGGAAATCATCTGTGAACGCTAAACTCACTGAGGATTGATCATATTGTGGCTGAAGAAAATCCGCCAAAGCCAAAATAATTGAGAGCTGTGTATTCTAGCCGTGATGAGTTCTCACACTCTTCAGCTTCTAATTTCTGTCTTTCTAGATTATTTGCTGTACAAATCCTGTAAGTTATTTTGCAAGGAGATACAAAGAATCTTTAATAGAGCTAATGACACTTTGTATCTTTGAAACTGTGTAGGGATAGATCAGGTCCTTCAAAAAAAAGCTCTGCCCTTTAAAGAATAAAAGGGAAGAACTTAAACTTAACCGAGTTAAGTTTATTTAAATGTGAACAGAGAGACATTGAAGAAAGTCGGAAGAATTAACAGACTGCTGGAATAGGGAGGGAATATTCCTGTTACCCAGTGAGGGAAAGCCCAAAGCTTTTTTCCTGCTAGATGGTTTGCCCTTAGCCCCCTCCCTCTTGGGGGATGATGTATTTTTGTTTTGATTTGTTAAGCAGTGGTCACACTGTCCTAAGCCTTGAGCAAAAGAAGCTCAGAGACAGTGCCTAGGCTTTGAGTTCAAGCCCTAGGACTGGCACAGAAAAACAAAAAAAGTTGTGATCTATCACTTGAGTCACAATCCTACCTTTGGTTTTTTTCCCTTTTGAGTAGTTTATTGTAGACAAGAACCTTATGGACTTTACCGCTCCACTGTCTTCAAACCATTGTCTTGATATCTCAGCCTCTAGAGTAGGTGGGATTTACATGTGTGAGCCACCAGTGCCTGACAGTCTTAAATATTTTTAAACACTTAAAAAGTTATCCTGTTACAGAATTAAATATTAGTTTCTATAGTGTTTAAGTAGAATGGAGTAAGGACAGGTGGTGACAGGGATAAAGTAGGTGTCACAAGGAAGAACAAATACAGTAGTGATACTCACTAGACACTATATTGAAAATGAACTATACCACTTGTGGATAGGAATGGGAGGAAAATCTGGGCAAGAACTAGGGAAGGGATGGCATTGTCCAAAAAGAAATGTACTCATTGTCTGATTTATGTAACTATAACTGCTATAATAACAATAATATATTATTATACTATATGTGTATATATATATATACATATATATATATATATATATATATATATATATATATATATATATATATACATTAGCTGTCACATTTCTCACCTTTTTGGGGGTCCAGTCCTAGGGTTGAACTCAGGGCTTGGGCACTGTCCCTGAGCTTCTTTTGCTTAAGGCAAGCACTCTACTACTTGAGCCACAGCCCCACTTTGGTTTTTTTCTGTTTATGTGGTACAGAAGAATTAAACCCAGGGCTTCACGCATGCTAGGCAAGCACTCTACTACTAAGCCACATTCCCAGGCCCACATTTCTCACTTTTGTCTTTCAGGTGGATCCCCAGTGACTTGGTGGGTTGGAACCAATGAGACACATACGCTCAGTGCTCAAAACTGCACTTGTGGATTAGAGGGCAACTGCATTGACCCCCAGTATCACTGCAACTGTGATGCCGATCAGAATGAATGGTGATTTCCACATGACTTTCCTGTACAAACTGTAATTTTCTTGACACTTTGCAGTTAGGTATTTTAACAGCTACAACATTACGATCTCTCATGTTTCCATATGAATTTCAAGATTGATTTTTCTGTTTCTGTGAAGAAGTACACTGAAATATTTTGTGGGCACTGCATTGAATCTCTACATTGCTTATTCAGTAGATTTAGTCATTTTTTGTTATATTAATTCTGCAATCTGGAAGTATGGGATATCTTTCTATCTTATGGTATTCTCAAGATTTAAGTTTTTGTTGTAGAGGTCTTTTACTTCCTCTGGAATTTATTTTTTATTTTTATTTTTGGAATTTAATGTTTAGGCTTTTCTTTCCCAGTCTGTTGGTGTATTAAAAAATACTACTGATTTTTAAATTAACTAACTAATTAATTAATTTTTGACAGTCCTGGGTCTTGGACTAAGGGCCTGAGAACTGCTCAAGGCTAGCACTCTGCCACTTGAGCCACAGTACCATTTCTGGGTTTTTCTGTTTATGTGGTACTGAGGTATTGAACCTTGGGCTTCATGCATGCTAGGCAAGCACTGCAGCACTAAGCCAAATTCCCAGTCCCCTCTCTACCCTCCCCCCATTACTGATTTTTGAATACTGATTTTTATATGCTGCTGCATTGCCATAGAAATTTGTTAGATCTCAGACATTTTTGATGGAATCTTTAATGTCTTTAAGTATAGAATTGTGTCATTTGCAATAGGGACAATTTCACTTATTAATTCTTAGGTGAATCCCTTTTATTTTTTCTCTTTCTGCCCTAATCTTTATTATTCCTTTTCTGTCTGCTAGTTTTGGATTTGGCTAGTTCTCTTTTTTCTAGGGGTTTGAAGTGTATCACTAGGCTATTTATTTGAGATACTGCTTTTTTACAATTAAATTTTTATGTAGGCATTCATAGCTCTAAATTTTCCTCTTAGCACTACCTTTGCTGTGTGACAATGGTTCTAGTAGGTTTTGTTCTCATTTTCACTAGATACTGTATAACTTTTGGATTTCACCTTTTTTCTTCAATTCAACAAAGTATTGTTCAGTCTTTGAATATATTTTATGGTTTTATTTGCTGTTAAGTTCCAGTTTTATTCCATTGTGTTCTGATAAAATACAGAGTTATTTTAATTTTCTTACATTTTGTACAACTTGTTTTGTGTCATAAAATGTGATCTAATTTTGAGAAAATTCCATGGACTGGTGAGAAGAGTGTGTGTTGTGTAGCTACTGGTAAAATGCTCTGTCCATATCTGTCACGTGCATTTGGCCTATGTCACTTAATTCTGAAGTTTCTTTTTTGATTTTTGTTGGGAAGGTCTGGGTGACCTATCTTTCAGTGAGAGTGATGTATCAACTACTCCTACTATTTAAGTCTAATAGTGTTAGTTTCACAGATTTGGTTGTGCTGACATTTGAAACATATATTAGCAATCATTATTTCTTTTTGATTAGTAACATAGTATTTGATAATATGAAATTATTTGTCTCTCCTGAGTAATAAGTGTGAAGTCTAGGTTTTTAGACATGAGTATAGCTACTCTGGCCTGCTTTTGTAGTCCAATTACTTGTCTATCCTTTTCCCTAAAATATTGCATGATTTTTATCAGTAAGATACAATTTTTGTGGACAAGAAATGGTCAGGTCTTGCTTTCTATGCCAATTTTCCATTCTGTGTCTTTTCATTAGGGAGCTGAGACCATTACCATTGAGTGCCAATATTGAAAGGTATAATTCATGCTTTTTGTTTTGGTGTTAGATTCTTTGCTACTCTTTATTCCCTTATCTGCTGATATGGTGAGATTTGTCTCTCCTATTTTTATGTTTACATGAAACATTTCATGTGTCCTCTTCTTTGTGTAGGATTCCTTCGAGTATCTTTTGCAATGTGGATTTGGTGGTCATAAATATTTGCTTTATCATGGAAGGCTTTTACTTATCCTTCAGATGTGAATGAGAACCTTATTGGGAAGAATAGTCTTAGTTGAACGTGGTTAACCTTTAATGCTTGAAATACATTATTTCAATCCCTCCTTTGCTTTAAGGTTTCTTTTGAGAATTTGCTGCTATTCTGATGAATTGTTCATCGCGAGTGTCTTGGGATGGGTCTCTAATAGCTTTCAGTATTATTTCCTTTTTCTCTGTTAGTGTGATATGATGTTTGTGGACAGGTTCTATTCTGGCTGTACCTTGGTGAGTTTCTCTTCATCAAGATTTGGTAAGTTTTCTGCCTTTTTTTTTTTTTTAGTGAATGTTTCCTCTCTGTGAATTAACCTCTCCTCTTCTATGTCCAAGTGCATAGATTTGGGCTTTTTATAGAGGCCTGGGTTTCTGCATATTCCTTTTATGTCTTAATTCATTTTTCTTTATCTTTTTTTTGATTGACTACTTATCTTCAAGCCTGGTACCTTGCTTTCCACTTGATTTACTCTAGTTAAGAAGTTTTGTTGTTACAGTTATGGTAGTTCTAGGGTTAAATTCAGGGTCTGGATGCTGTCCTGGACTTTTTTTCCTCAAGGCCAACTCTCTACCATTTGAGCCACAGATCCACTCTAGCTTATTTTTTCTGGAGTTTATTGAAGATAAGAGTCTCACAGACTTTCATGCCCAGGCTGGCCTTGAACTGTGCTCCTCAGATCTCAGCCTCTTGATTAATTAGGATTACAGATGTGAGCCACCAGCTCTTGGATCAATTGTATATTTTATTTCACCTGTAGAATTTTTCATCCCTTGGGATGAAAATTCTTTGATGTTTTAATATAATCATTGAATTCCCTTTTCATATCTTGCATTAACTTCCTTATTTCATTTTTTGTTTATTTGTATATTTTTAATTTATTTATCTCTTTATTTGTATTGTTTGAGTTCATTTATCTATTTGTTTGCCATTAATTTGAGTTTATTTAGTTTCATATAGATATCTTTTTTTCATTTAGTTGTTTGCCTGTGTTCTTTTTAATGTTTTAGGTGTTTATACATGTCCTCTTTCACTGATCATTCTTTCCATCATTCTAAGTTTAATATTTGAAATTTCATTCACTTAACTGCCATTCTAATTCTTTGTTGGGTAGTTGTTTACTATACTAGAGCCACCCAGCACTTGGTGGCTGTTGATTTTATGAAGTGTCATGTTGCTTTCTTTTTCATTTTCTTTGTTTTTGTACTGTGATTTCCATCTGGAGTCAGTCTATTGATAGGTGACTTTAGTAAGATGATATTTTTCCATTGAAAAACCTTCTTTGCTCTGGGAGGGCTCTGTTGTGGTAGGATTAATGTACCTTTTCTCACTTGATATGGATGGAGTTAAACAAACTAGATATTTGCATAAAGTAAAACAACATTGGCAATATTGTCTATACTATCAGTCATGATTTTTATAAAAGAGACTAATGTTATTATATTGTAGGATATAGTATAGTATAGTTTTCCCACTAGTTTGCAGGCATATAGCTCCATTATTGTGGGGGAAGGATACTGTAGTTGGGGATCAGTGATATGGAAGAATGACTACTAATAAAACAGAGGCTAAAAAAAAGCAATCAATAGAAAAATTTGTAAAAAAAAACTAGTGAAATGGAAAATTTTTAAGTCCAGAAAAACTAATGAAAGGCAATATTTCTTCTTAGTTGAGTTAAGATTGGGTAAAGAAAATAAAGGGAGGATGAAGATGAAAACATACGGAAGAAAGAAGATGAAGAAAGGGCTGAAAATTATGTTGACTAGAAGTAAATGAAATAATAGCATATGGGGATATAATTAAATTATTGTAGGGAAGCATGTCATAGTCACAGCTTGCAATGGTGAATTATGAATCTTAAACACAAAGTGTCAACCATCATAGAAAAATTTGTAAAATGGGGGTGAAAATTAATATAAAATATTGTAATAGGCAAAAGAGGAAATAGTGATAAGAGTAAAAGTCAATTCTCCTTCCTCTTTGAGCAGAAAATTGAATGCTTTATAAGGTGTGACCCAGGCCATGCAAGCCCTGTGCAGATGCCTCCCTACCTCTCGGCTGTTTCTACCCAGCATCAGTGTTACATAGGTAACTGGCACACCCAGAAGCAGTCACCTCCCCCTCCTGCTAGGTCACATACTTGCCTGCCCCTGGCCTTCCATCTGACCCTAGGCTGGTCCTAGGCCCTGAGATCACTTCCAGATCCAGTGTGGCCACACCTTTCCCCCACCTAGCCATACCTCTTCCTGTCCCTGGCTTAGATAAGTCCTGGCTGCGGGGATGGGGAGGAGGCAGTGTCACTCCTTTTGGCCATGCACTGTGGGGGAAGCAGTTTGGTAAATAAACTTTTTTTCCTGCCTGCATACTATGTGGTGTTCTCTTTGTAGGCTACCTAATGAAACCTACCTATTTAATATATCTTCCATACCTTCTGAGCTTTATCAGTCCAGTAGATGTCTCCCATCTCTGGGCTTCTGGTTTGCATCTGAAGTTCAGTGGTGTTTATTCACATCACTACTCTGGGACCTAGACTGCCTGAGGGTGGCCTGAGTGCCATCTTCTGTGGCTGATTACATCCTGGACTCTGGATAGCTGCTGAGATAGGGTGGAGCAGGCCCCTTTCCACTGTGTTAAACTGGGGGTCCAGTGGTGACAGGGATGTGCACCAGTCACAGGGATGTGTTTGGGGTTTCTTCTCTCCTGTACAGCGTTGGAGACACAACAAATAATGCTCCTCACCCACTCAGTCCTAGGCCTATTCCAGGTGTGTGAGCCTTTGGTCACTCACTTGCCAAGAGTCCTTAATGGAGAATTGTGTTTGCTTGTACCTAGTAGGCTAGGTGGTGTTCTTTGGGTTCTGGCCATCACAGGGATGTGTGTGATTCACAGGGAAGTGTACAAAGCTCCCTCTTACTCTATATTACAATTGAGTCCACAGCCTTGAAGGAATGGTTTTCCTAATTCCAAACAGTCGCATGTGTGCAAGCCTTTGGTCAGCTGGCTTTACTAAAAATCTTCTCAGGAGCGGTTGTGTTACCTTGTACTCGCTGTGCTAGGCAGTGGCTTTTGGGGTCAGGCAGTCAGGCACATTTGCCAGCCACAGGGATATCTGGCCATTTCCCTCTTTAACTTGCCATGAGTGATTTTTTTTTCTCCATGATTCTGGGCTAGTTTCAGTGTACAGGCCTTTGGTCAGCTTGCTCTGCTGGGAGCTGGATTGCAGGCAGCTGTATTGTTCACTTGTACTCACTGAGTTGAACAGTGTTCTTGGGAATCTGGCAGGTGTAGAGTATCTTGTCTCTTTGTTATCTAAGATTCAATATTTAACTTTCTTTTCTCCAGTCACTCACTGTCTTACACGTTTTTCCTAGTATCCTCACCTGGTTTACTAACTTTCCTGTTTCTTTGTAGATACTTGCCTGCATGTTTATTTCTGGTTTGTGGAGACACAGAAAGGTGATAAACATACTTTCCTTAAAATACAATTTTGCAAACTTGTCATCCACTGTTCAACAAAGCAGAACTCAAAAATCTTTACAAAAGTGCAATGCAGTAATATAATTTTCAATGAAGAGAATTTCAGGGAATGTAATAATTGTTAGAAAATGCTTGAAAATAAACTTTGAATGATTGGTGGCTTTCTATGAAGAACATGTTACTATGAGAAATATTCTAAAACCCATTGCCATGCCAGCACTTTAATAAAAAAATTGTGAAATGTGTTTATGGGAATTTAAGAAGACCTAGGCATAAATCTCCTTTTGCAAAGACAGCTAAGACACCTCAAATGCTTTCCTTGACTTCATGTAATTCCACACATATGCCAACCATTTGATTGTAGGTTTTTGTTGTTGTTGTTGTTTTGTTTTATTTTTGTGCCAATGCTAAGGCTTCTGCTCATGACCTGAGCACAATCCCCTGAGCTTTTTCATAGAAGGCTAGAACTCTACCACTTGAACTTCAGGTCCCCTTCAGGCTTTTTGGTGATTAATTGGAAAATAAAGTCTCATGGACTTTCCTGCCTGGGCTGTCTTTTAACTGAGATCCTCAGATCTCAGCAGCCTAACTAGCCAGGATTACAGGTGTGAGCCACTGGTACCCAGCTGTTTGTGTTTTTCTTATTAAATTGGTGTCAAAATTCACATGGTAAAACAATGGAGACTAAGTGGCAAAGACAGTTCTAAAGGTGGCAGTGAGGCAGGGAGAGGAGACATTGGATATCAAAATGTGTTTTGCCATAGTAATAAATGCTTTATGGCTTTAACCAGGGATGAGCAAACAGAACAATGAAATTCAACCAAGAACTTTGGCTGTCAAAACACATAGTTCATGTTTTCAGCCACTCTGTCGCAAGAAAATTTATAAATTGTAAACTTGATGCAGTATGTTTTCCTTTGTAGCTTTCACGACAGTCCAAAGTGGGGAAAGTCATCTTTTACCAAAAGAAGTTCACTGAAAAACAATGAATTATAGAAATTGATGTTAGAGCACTGAGGACTCTTAAAAGGCGATTTGGAAAGTTGGTTGCTGAATATTTGAATGAGTCTGGTCACCATGGCAATTAATAGTCTCCCTAAAATAGGGTCACATTTAGCAAACCCCTTACATTTAGCAAAGGTGGTACAAACAGTACAACCCTGAAGGCTATTGCCATACATGTTTTAGCACATAGTGCATTCATTATGATTTTGCTTATTTAATCTCAGGGTTCTGAATCCATAATTAATGCTGAAGGCAGAATGAGAGTGTCATTTTTCTTACCTAACAAGGTATAGCTCTTAAATAATTCCTTAGAATTCAAGGATCCCTAATGACAATGAATACACTTTTATTCTTCCTCTAAAATCTTTTTTTTTTCAGTCAAAATCACAATCACAAGAATTAAGATAGGTAATATTTACAAATAGTTTGCTACTTAACACTAGAAATTAATTTGCTATGTAATAAATGTATGCAAATCCAGACTGACCTTTTCTATCATCTAATGGGCAGGTTGCTGCCCACTTATTCCAAACAAAGTCTGATATTTATGTATTTATGATAATCTGCTTTTGCTCTTCTGATAGCAGCAATCTCAGGGATTTACCAAAGCTACATTATTTTATTCAACCTTATATGTTAAACTAATCCATTTAAGAAACCCACATTCATCTGATCCTTTTCATAGTTTACCACATATTCTACCAGTTACTTTATTGAAACTTTTGAACAGAATAAAGATCTTAGGAATTTTAATTTTTATGACACTTAAAGAGAATTGAATGACTACTTTTTTTTTTGTTGGTCGTGGGGCTTGACCTTTAGGCCTGGGCGCTGTCCCTGTGCTCAAGGTGAGTGCTCTACCGCATGAGCCACAGCGCCACTTCCAGTTTTCGAGTGGTTTATTGGAGATAAGAGTCTCTCGGACTTTCCTGCCTGGGCTGGCTTTGAATCACGATCCTCAGATCTCAGCTTCCTGAGTAGCTAGGATTATAGATGTGAGCCACCGGTGCCTGGCTTTGACTACTTATTTTGATTTGTCATTTTAAAGTTTCAGGTTGAGCCATATTAAATTGTTAATTCTTTTCTTTTTCCTTGTGAAAGCTAATTTTTCTTCCTTTCTATTTATTGGTGGTACTGTTTTTTGAGCTTAGGATCTCCTACTTGCTAGGCAGGTATTCTACCACTTAAAATTGCATTCTAAGTCCTTTTAGTTTTAACTGTTTTTTTTTCAGATGAGGGCTTGGTTTTTTTGGCCAGGCCAGCCTTAGACTGTGATCCTCTTATCTTTGTCTCCCAACTAGTGAGAGTGACAGGCTTACACCACCAGGCTTGACAATGAAAGCTCCATTTTCATATGCTTCAGCCTGTATATACTAGATTAAGTGGTGACTTTGCAGTTGTTAGAAATTTAGACTTAATAGTTTTGCTGGGCACTGGTGGCTCATGCCTGTAATCCCAGATACTCAGGAGGGTGAAGTATGATGGTTGCAGTTTGAGGTCAGCTTGGGCAGGAAAATCTGTGAGATTCTTATCTCCAATTACCCACAAAAAGTGGAGTTTTGGCTCAAGTAGAGTTCTGTTCTTGAGGGAGGAAAAGCTCAGAATAGCATCTAGTCCTTAATTAAAGCCCCAGGATCCCAGGATCCCCACTTTTCCCTGCAATGCAGGTGGTAATAGTCATTGAAAAATAAGCCCAATGCACTGCCCACCTGTTAATTTTAAGTTCATTATACCATGTCTTCCTCTTGTTTTTGAATCTGTGCTTTGTTATTTGTTTTAAAATTTATGATCTCAACATATAAGTGAATGCCTAGTAACCACAACAGAAATTCCCAAAACCTTTGTACAGAATCATTTCTATTCCCCCTATCCCTTAGACATCAATTTCAAGACCTTCAGCAGAGAATAACAATCTCTACTAGTAGTATTTTTCCAATACACACAGATCATGACCAAGTTAATAAATTAAACACAGGAAAAGATGGATAATAACTCAGTACAAAATAAAACAAATTATTCTGTAATCAAAGTTATATGACTATGGCCCTTGTCTAATAATATATTTAGACAGGGATTACCATGAGGCACAAAAATGCAAGAAGTGAAAACAAGAATAAGGGGATGACTATGATAAAATTTTGAGAATTGAAAACCCTAAATCTTGTCAGTCCTGTTTCTTTCTGTTTTGTTTTTAATTTTGTTTTGAGGCGAATTTCTCCTTCATGTACAAAGCATGAAGGCTTGCATACGTGCAAGTAAGACTTGAATGTGTCAGTGTTTCATGAAAATTACAAGTATAAACTACTTAGATGCATTGAAAATGTAATCTCACATCTGCACTTGCGAGCATGTTTCTGGAGCTGTTCACTTCCTTCTTAGTGGTCAGGTGCACAAGCAGTGACTTTGGGTCCTCAGATGAGCACATATAGTCAGTGACAATGTGTGCAATTCACAAATTTGGATAACCTCTTCTTGAACATTGATAAAAGGCTCTTTATCATGTTCTATCCAGAATAACGTCAAGGTAGCTATATTTGTTTCCTAGGACCAGTGACACAGTAGTTCTTTCCCATAAGGAACACCTACCGGTCACTCAGATTGTGATGACAGACACAGACAGACCACACTATGAAGCAGCTTATTCCTTGGGGCCTCTGCTCTGCCAAGGGGACAGTAAGTATGGCAAGAAGAATACCCTTGATTCCAATGAATGTGTGTCAGTGTTTCATGAGAAATTTAATTGCACAGGTTCATAAAATTGCCATCTGAGGAATTCATATTTCATTAGGTATATGTTAACTTAGAAAAGAAGAAATGTGTTTAATTACAACTGAGAAAAAAGTGAGCTAATTCATATTACCTCTGGGTGAAAGCTCATTTCTGTAGTAGTTAACTATATCAACAGGTATATAACTAGAGGCTTGATCTGAAATATCTTTTGGCTTGCATAGGTAAGTAACCCTTATCTTTAGTGATTTGAAGAAGGAATGTTTTGAACTTCAGATAGTTTTCAGACTTCAGAGTATTTGTACATTAATTATGAAAAATCATAAATACGGGAATCAAGTGTTAAGTTCAGTTAAATAAATATATTTTATATACTCATTTCCATAAATATATTTATTCATTCCTATAGATTTATATGAATTTATACAAACTATAAAAGACCTTATATGTATTACAAATCATTTATAGTTCACATATTCTGTATACATATGCCTGAAGATAGTCTAATACAATGTATTTAATGTGTTTGAATTTTGACCAAAACATTCCAAATGAGGCCAGGTATGGAATTTTCTACTTATGGCATCCTTTCAAGATGCAGAAAGTTTACAAATTTTGGATCTCTTCAGATTTCAGATTTGAATAAGGAATATTCAATTTGTACAGATCTACTATGTACTAATTACAAAGCATGTTGCTGTGTGTTAAGATGCCCTAATCAGAGGACATTGAGAGAGCATAACCCATTAGGTATTTCTATTCATAAATGCCTTCTAGACATTCTAAGTGTTTACATAGGAAATTTTAATGATTCTACTCCCTTATGTAAAATAAAATAAAAACATTCCTTCTTCTGGTGCCTGTAAAAAAACCTCTAGCTTCTCTCTTCTGGCCACAAATGTGATTTTGTGATGCTGCTAAATCCAAAGGTTAGTACTCTCAATTTTTCTCCTTGTTGATTAGTTAGGAACCCTGGACTCCTCCCAAGATTTGCTTCTGTCCTCTGCAGCTGTTATCTCACAAATCCCATTACACTTCTTCCCATCATCTTCTTGCTAGCAGGATGGCATGGGCACCTGGGCACTCTCCTTATCAGTGCTACGGCTTCAAATACCACCTGAAGCCCAATGACCCCACATTTATACTTCCAGATCAATGAGGAAGCTCATTGCCCAATGGATAAGAAACTTCTACTTATATTTTGTTAGGCATTTCAAACTCAAACGATAAAAACATGAAAGAAATAAACAAAGCAACCTTCTCCAATTCAGTACATGGCAACTCTGTCCTTCCTTCCTCCTTAATCACACTTGTCATCTCACAATTCATATTTAATTCGTCAGCAAATGCTGTGGCTTCAACTCCAAAAACAGACCTGGTTCTGGAGATTTGGTTCAAGTGGTGGAGCACTTGTTAACAAGTGTGAAAACATGAGTGCTACCAAAGAAACAGAAAACAAAACAAAAATAGACCTAGAATCTGGCTGTGTCTCACAGCTTCATTACCATCTCGTCTGAATTGTTGTGCTGAACTAGAACTAGACTGTGGGCCAATGCTGTTGCCCATTCCACTCAGCATACTTGGCAATAGAAGTTCTACTATGTTAGTCCACTGACCCTAACCCTACACTGGCACGGACTTCAGAGAAGAGCAATCAAAGTGTAATGTTCACCAAAACCTTGGTGGCCATGCTGACCTCTGAGTCAGGCCTAGTGGGGACTATGAAACCACAGTCCTCCAGGGGGTGTTAAATCATATTTCACTTCAGTAGGAAATGCTGGCACTTTTGACCATAGTATGTGTTTAGTCAAAATACTGCAGAACAGCTGATCTTACCTTGACTGATTAGCACATGGCCATGCACACTCTCCTTCTGATGTAACAATGAGGACCACAGTTCTGCTCCTGAAGAAAATGAACAGAATGCATGTACCTATCTCTCTCCCACTGACAGCCCCAGTGAGACCTGGTCAGGAGGCAGAGGGGTATTGATCCAGGACCAAAGCACAAATCTCACAGGCTTTTAGCTGAAATATACATAGTCATATCTATGGAAAGAGATAAAGGGGAGCATATGTTGCTGGGATTTTTACATACCACCAGAAATACTTAAAAGACAGATTCTAGGGCTGGAAAGGTAGTTCAGTGGTAGAGTGCTTGCCTTACATGAGGCCCTGGGTTTGATTCCTCAGCAACAAATAAGCAGAACGAGCCCGAAGTGGTGCTGTGACTCAAGTGGTAGAGTGGTAGCCTTGACCTGAAGAGCTCAGGGACAGCACCCAGGCCCAGAGTACAGGTCCCACAACCAACAACAACAACAAAAAGACAGATTCTAAGCATAGACTGTAAAGGTGATTAAATATGTTGTGATGATGGAAAGTTAACAGATAAATAACCATAAACTAAAAGAGAATACCAGAAATATTTAATCTAGATGTAGGCATAATGGTGGCACAGAAAAATAAAATCTGCATGGATCAAACAGGGATTTTTGGTAAATCACCAAGGTGTTATTTATAAGCAACTCACATTAAGTAGATATAGCAAAATTTATTGAAAATGGCAAAAATAGAATAACTCAAATACAATTGGAAGAATTATAAGTCTGTATTAAAATCTTTATTTCAGAGCAAAGGGAGCTAAAATATGTATATATATATATATATATATATATATGTATATAGACAGAGAACACTACATAATGACCATATATCCATACACCAAGAAGAGAAAATAATCTTGTTTGTATGGTTATAACAATGTCAGAATAGATAAATATGTGTATAATATTGGCAGAAAAGAAAGGAGTAACAGACTAGTATGTATAAAGATAAAATTCAATACTTTTTTCTCTCTAACATAGAAAATCAGCAAAGGTTTTGAAAATTACATGTCAAATGCCTTATCTACATAAAATTGATTTAAATATCATAATTTGATTATGATAACCAATTCAGCGTAAAATTTGTAATAAAATTCTTAGCAAACTAGGAATAGAATGGAAAATTTTAATCCAATGAAAAGACTCTATTAAAAAATGTAGTTTTGCTGGCACTAGTGGCTTATGCCTTTAATCCTAGTTACTCCTGTAGCTGAGTTTTGAGGATTGCTGTTGAAGCCACCCTGGGCAGAAAAGTCCATGAGAATCTTATCTCCAATTAATTGCAAAGATCAGAAATTGAGCTATGGTTCAAGTGGCAGAGTACTAGCCTTGAGCAAAAAAGCTCAGGGACAGTGCCCAGGCCCTGAGTTCATGCCCCAGGACTTGCACACACACACACACACACACACACACACACACACACACACACACACACACACTCAGACACACACACAAATTTTATTTCCAATGAAACAAATGAATATGGATTGGAAAATGAGAAACCTTTGTTCACAGGTGTATATATGTCTGCCTATACAGAAGGAGTCCAAACACACACACACACACACACACATACACACATGTGTATAAATGCATACATATATTCAAACTACTGAGTTGTAACATAACTGATGTAATATCTGTAAGTATAAAATCTATAAAATGCTGAAGGAAAGAATCAAGAAAACATAAATGACATAAATGACACACTGTTTTCATGGATAGAAATCTCATTGGAAAAATGGCAGTTCTTTCCAACTGAGCAAACAATCAAAGAGAAATAAGAATGGCCCAGAAGTACATAAACAGATATTCTATGACATTAATTGTGACATGAGGCAAATTAAAACTGCTATGTGATACTACTACAAAGCAAGAAGGAAGGAAGGAAGGAAGGAAGGAAAGAAGGAAGGAAGGAAGGAAAGGAGGGAGAAGGGGAGGGAGAGAGGGAGGGAGGGAGGGATAGAGGGTGGAAAGAAGGAAGGGAGGAAAAAGAGAGAGAAGGAAATAAAGCACACATGAGGAAGAGTAAGTGGTGAAGGAAGTATAAAACAAGTGAGTCTCTTGTATATCATGGGTAGAAGTGAAAAATCCTCGTCACTCTAGAAAACTGATCGACAGTTTTGTGTAGTTAAACATAGCTACTATAGGATTCAGAAATTGTGCTCTAGGGTATCTGTTGTTTAGCAAATGAAAATTTATGTTCATGTAAAAACCTATATGGAAATGGTTATGATAGCTCTGTGTAGAGTTATTGGAGCCAGGAACAAGGCTGTAAGATTTCTAGTGTGGACAATGTAGTGTGTCAGATGACAAGGTTAGTAGTGAGAAGTGGATATCATAGATGCATCCATGTGTGCAAACCTCAAAAGGTGCATGACACCACTTACCTTATGCTTAGAGAAAGGCAACTATAGCAATGGGAGAATTGCTGGGACTAGAGGATGAGTTAGGGAGATAGCAAGGAGGAGAGTCTGGGGTGATGGAGCTTCTCTTTCTCCCAATTTTGTAATGTTTACACAAATCATTGCATGTCAAGATTCATAACTTTACTTCTGAAGTCATTTTTACTCTATAACTTAAAAATTAAACAACTTTTTGTAAATACATATCATTTCCACAGTGACTACTCCTCTACTTAGCTGTACACATGTCTAAAATCTTAATCATCAAAGGAGTCATCATTTGGACATTCATGTCATGGCTACATGTTCAGAAGAACCTCATAAAGAAGGCTTGCATAGACAAGTAGTTCATTACGAGTGAAAACAAATACTAGAAATATGAAGTCTAGTTGCTCTTTGTTTTATTTTTTCTCATTTGTCTCTTTTTTTTTTTTTGTTTGGTTGTAAACAGATTCATTTTGGAATTCAGCCTCCTTCAATACTGAGATTTCATATCTTCATTTTCCTACCTTCCGTGGGGAGCTCAGTGCTGATCTGTCCTTCTTTTTTAAGACAACAGCTTCCTCAGGGGTGCTTGTAGAGAACCTGGGGATCACAGACTTCATCAGGCTGGAGCTGCATGGTGAGTTGTCCATGCTGGGAAAAGTTGTGGGGTATTCAGTCATAAGCAATAAACTCTTTAGTAGTCTTATTTATAATTTTACTGTGTACTTCCGTATCAGTCTTACTTTTATTAATACAAGAATTGTGTGATTTTTGTCACCTTCAATAGTATGTTAGTTAAATTTACATCATGAAAACAAAATATCTGAGGCAATTCACTTCTAAGTTTATTTTGGTTTATGGCTCTGGAGTTTCCACTGCAAGATATAGGAAACTCCCTATATTTTGACCCCTGGGGAGTGGCCCATGGTGGTGGCTGTGTGTGTTCACCAGTCAGGAAACAGAGGAACAAAGTCTCCTTCATGAGCATCCCCCAAGTGACTTAAAGATCTTACCCTCTACTATATTCCCCAAAGGTTCCACTACCACCCAGTAGCTCCACTCTGGGGAGCTACTGCCCATATGAAGCCAGATAACATACCAGTTTTTGTGTGTGCCCAAATATCTCTCAGAGCTTCACGAGGCAAACAGTAAATACTAAAGATGGATGTCGCTAAGTTTAGTTTTAATTTTTCACCTCCAGCGTAGAAATGTATTTGGCCTTCCTAGCCAACTCCCAGTAGCATTCTCCTATAATGCTCTTCTTCCTAATGAGCAGGCTCTGATGCCACATTCCAGTTCACTCAGCATGAAATGTTCTCCCCTCTAAAGTTAACTGAGCAGCTCTCCATTTCCAGCTCCTGAGGAAGTAGTCTTTTCCTTTGATGTGGGGAATGGACCTTGTGAACTCACCGTGCAGTCACCCACTCCCCTTAATGACAACCGATGGCACCATGTGAGGGCCGAGAGAAATGTGAAAGAAGCCACACTCCGAGTGGACCAGCTCCCTCAGAAGATGCAGCCTGCCCCAGCAGACGGACCTGTCCGCTTGCAGCTCAGCAGCCAGCTCTTCGTGGGTAAGTGTTTATCACTGTTGGTTTATCACTGAGCTGTACTGAGAGCAGAAAGGGATCTTGAGGGAAAAAAATGCAGCTCAGAAGCAATGGCAAGCAAAGATGATGGCCACCGTGGCTTTGTCACAGGTTCCAGATGAAGGTTTGTGAAGTTTCCTTCTAGAAGTAGAGTCACTCCACTCAGGGCCTTTGACTTCGATAACAGAATAAGAATTTTTGGATAAGCCACAATGGCAAGAAAATGTAGTGGTGCTTCATAGAGTCAGCAAGTAGGAAAGCAGAAAGGCAGAGACACACTAGCAAATAGAGTGTGGGTATGCAAAAGGAGACACACTGTGCATTTTGACATAGGAATATATATCATATATATGACATTAATATATGATATATGTTATATATTAATATATGTCATACATATATGACAAAGTCAGGGTCTGACTTAAAGTTATGCTAGGCAAGTGTTTATGTTTACTCCTAATCATTTGGTGTTACACTTTTATTATTTGAGTTCTGGATCCTTATGAGTGACTATCTCTTTAACTTTTGACTGGTATGTTTGGGTATCCCTTCCAAGAAAGAATGCGTTCTTCAAAATAGATGTTTATCCTTGAGATTCAGAAACAGTGTATCTAGAAGCAAAGAAGAGAGTGCTTCTAAATGCACTGTTGGTTTCTGAATTCCTTGTTGCCTTTTAAAAAATTTTATTTTATTGTAAAGATGCTGTACAGAGGGGTTACAGTTACATGAGTAAGGTAATGAACACATTTATTGTTGAGGGTTGTTGCTCCTATCTTTGTTTTTCTCCTACTATCCCTTCCCTTTACCATGCTTCATTTTCCCTAGTCTATCTTGCTCCGCACCATTTACAAGAGGCACCATATTTAATATTTATTACTTCTTTCCACAGACGTTGCAGTACCCAATTTATTGGTGAAAAACAATGTTATGCAGCCTTAGAAAGATCACTTCCCTTGTCAAAAGAAAGCCAGCGAGGAAAGAAACCCATACCTGTGTGGAGTCTTTTTCAAATTTGCCCTTAATGCCCAACCCAAGACAACTCACATTAATTTCAGCTACTACTCACCAGGAACTGTTTTATGTTAACAGCCTCTTGTATGCATTTCTCCAGTTATGCTCTTCACTGAAGTTGGTAGATCTGCCTTAAATTGCGGGAAGAATCCTCCAGTGCTCCCTCAGAAAGAGGAGAGCCGGTCACATGCAGAAGCAGCCTACTATGCCTGGCTCTGTCAGGATGTCCACTGTCCAGCTTCTGGCCATCTCTGCTCACATATGTTGTGTTCACAGCTGGATTTGGCTTCTTTGCTCTCCCAACTACTCTTTAAAAATCACCATTCTGCTGGGCACCAGTGGCTCATGCCGGTAATTGTAGCTACTTAGAAGGTTTAGAGCTGAAGATTGCAGTTCAAAGTCAGTCTGACAAGAAATCCCACGAGACTCTTACCTTCACTAAACTACTTAAGAAAGTCAGAAGTAGAGCTGTAGCTCAAGTGGTAGAGTGCTAACCTTGAGCAAAAAGAAATTCAGGGACAGAGCCCAGAGTCCTGAGGACCAACATTCTCTCTCTCTCTCTCTCTCTCTCTCTCTCTCTCTCTCTCTCTCTCTCTCTCACACACACACACACACACACACACACAGATATCACCATTCTTGGTAATAGATGTCTTCCTTTTAAATTATTTGTTGTTTTAGTACTGTTTTTTGTCCCCAGATGAAAAAAATGTTTTGTTTTGATGCCTTACTTTTCAAGTTATTTGATTCTAATGTGGTTCTAGTTTGGCAACTAGGCAGGTCAATAAAATTAGCTCTCACTAGGTCATTCTGACATATTTAAAGGATGTCCAAGTCAGAAATAAAATATAAATCACAAATTAGCTCATGGTCTGCTTAGCCTAAAGATGCCATAATGTAAAAGAACTCTGGAATGAATTCATGTGTGCATAGGTGAATGGCCCATGGCTTCAAGTGCAGCTAACTCTTACTCTGATCTAAACTTCAGTTTAGATCATCAAACCTCTGTTCAATTGAAATAGTTTTATTTTCTTATTTATAATCCTGAGAATAAATGAGTGGGGTTTCTAGGAGCAAAGTTGGTATGAAAATCTGCCTTAGTATTAGCATTCCTATTGGGTAAAGTTTCTAAAGCCTGAGAGACTAGTTGAAAATTCTGATTTTGGAGTCTGTACTCCAAATCTTTGAATCCCTGGATGAGCCCAAATCTGTGGTTTTCAACACATTTTCCTAAATACAGCAGTGTCCCCATGGTTGAGAACTGTTGTCTTAGGCTCACATGGGTAGAAATAAAAACACAAAGGTATCAGTGATTTTTAATTTGTTCTTTACAAGAAAAGAAGTATAAAAACATTTAAAATATAGCTAGAAATGTTTTGAGTATATTTACTAAGTTCAACTTTAAGAACACATTTTTTGTTAATATTTTATTTAGTGCTGTTACATTCTGTATGTATGTATGTATGTATGTGTGTGTGTATGTATGTATGTATGTATGTATGTATGTATGTATGTATGTATGTATGTATGTATGCATGTATTGTGATAGCATCTCACTATGTAGCCTTATCTGGCCCCTAACTTGTGTTCCTCTGCCTTTTCCTCCTGAGTACTAGGATTACTGGTGTGTTCCACCATGTCTGGCCCATTTGACAGTTGTCAACATTTTGTCACAACCTATATTGACAAATGTGCACTTTTTCAGAGTACTTTTTGAAAGTATCATAGGTTCTGATATCTACAAGGTCTTAGGTGGACAGGGCAGTGAAATCCCGAGAGCACTTGGGGAACATGAGCCACTGGCAGTGCTTCCCTTGTAGGGGGAACTGCCAGCAGGCAGAGGGGTTTCCTGGGCTGTATCCGGGGCCTGCGGCTGAACGGGGTGGCCCTGAACCTGGAAGAAAGAGCCACCGTGACGCCAGGAGTGGAGCCGGGGTGCGCAGGTCACTGCAGCAGCTATGGCTATCTGTGCCATAATGGGGGAAGATGCCTAGAAAAACACGCAGGGATCCAGTGTGACTGTGCCTCCTCTGCCTTCGAAGGACCCTTCTGCTCGCAAGGTGAGTATAGCAGAGAGTTCCTAAAGGAAGTGTAGATGAAACTGGATTTCAGACCCCAGCCTCAAAGTCCAGGAGTCCCAAGTCAGGTCTGGCTACTCTCCCTATGTGCCAAATAAAGAGACATGGGCTTAGGAGTTTCTTGCATGCTGGAATGGGAAGACTGTACTTCAGTACGTCTTCAGCTGTCTTCCATGATACAGACCTCGGATTCAGGTTAAAAGGGAGAATCAGAGACAAGAGTGAAAGTTACGCATAGTTAAAACAGTGCACTTCAACAGCTGTGGCCTGCTTGACCATTAGCTCAGTCTTTGTAGAGGAGTTGTGGAAAAGTTCTTATTGCTTTACTCCTGGAATAGAACAGGAACGCTTTGGGCTGTTTTTTGTTGTTGTTTGTTTTTTTTTTTTGTCAGTCATAGAGCATGAACTCTGGGCCTAGGCACTGTCCCTCAGCTCTTCAGCTCAAGGCTAGCACTCTATCACTTGAGCCACAGCACCACTTCTGACTTTTTCTGCTTTTGTGGTGCTGAGGAATTGAACCCAGGGCCTCATACATGCAAGGCAAGCACTCTATCACTGAGCCACCTTCCCAGCCCACGACTGTTTTCTTTTAAGATAATAATAAGGCATTGCTTGTTTGAGGGATAGTTTGCCTTTTGTCACTAGCTGCTTGCCCAGGAAATAGCTCAGATCGAAGGCCACAAATGCAAAGAGGGATGGGGGAGGGTGAATATTTAGCTTTAACTTAATTCACAGGGCCCAACCAAAGCATCTTTTAGGTTGCATCTTACATAGACATGATTCTGGCATTTATTTGATGCTATGAAGAAAAGAAAATTCTACATGATGATTTGAAATCCAATTATTTCTGTCCTAAATCATGTAAAGATTTGGAAGGACATATGAATCTATTTTTGAGAAGCCCGTGGCTACTTCTAGCAGCACTGATAGGTCTTATCTGCTTTCTCCAGGGCATTGCCTGGAGGAGAGCAGTGGCCTCAAATTGCATATTTAAATTAGAAAATTAATTGTATGTGAATCAAAGCTGAAATATTTTTGTGACATTAACAATAATATGCTCATTGTTAGAAATTCTGAGTTCTAGGACTATAGGGACCTAGTTATCTATATCTAATATTTATTTGATATATCAAATAACCAGTATTTCCATTTTTGTCTTAAAATGTAAAGCAGCATAAAATAGCCAAAATGCCATTAGTATTTTCTCTTTTAGAATATTAAAGACTTGAATTTTTTTCCAAATACGCATCACACAAATGTCTTACACTTAGACCATGCTAACTTAACAAAAATGTGGGTTGTCCAGAGGTTTCTGCATACTTTGGAGCCAGTTCATCAGTGATCTACAATTTTCAAGAACATGACAATAACACCTTCAGTAACAGCTCCAGATCCTTAGCAGAATCATCTCATGAAGAGCTCAAGCTGACCAGAGAAATAGCCACGCTGAGCTTCCGAACCACAGGGGCGCCCAGTTTACTGCTCTATGTGAGCTCTTTCTTTGAGGAACACCTTACAGTTGTCCTCACTCCTGATGGTGAGTGTCCTCAGCGTTACATCCACAGGCTGAATCAGAAAACTATGACCATGGTGCTGTGGCCAGGAAACCAGCCAGGACAGTTAGCAATGGGCCCACAGTGTGCATTTTACTGGGGTTGGGCTATTTTCCAGTAATGCTAAAAAAGTCAGTGATTAGTTGGGCACCAGTGGTTCATGCCTGTAACCCTAGCTACTCAGGAGGTTGAGATCTTTTTTATTTTTATTTTTTTTCAAAAAAATGTTAAATTTTTTATTGTGAAAATATTGTGCACAGGGGTTACAATTAAATGGGCAAGGTAATGAGTACATTTCTTATCAAGCATTGTTGCCTCCTCCTTTGTTTCCCTTTCCCATCTCCCCATCCAGAAGGCTGAAATCTGAGGATTGTAGTTTGATGCCAGCCTAGGCAGGAAAGTCCATGAGATTATTACCTCCAATTAACTACTAGAAAACTGGAAGCAGAGGTATGGTTCAAAGTGGTAGAGCACTAGCCTTGAGTGAAAAGCTCAGGTACATTTCCCAGACCCTGAGTTCAAGCCCCATGATTAACAAAAACAAAAAATCAATGATTCAGCTGAGTGACAGTGGCTAACCCTTGTAATCGTAGCTACTCAGAACGCTGAGATCTGAGTATCAAGGTTGGAAGCTAGCACAGGAGTGTAGCAAAGTCCATACAATTAGCCAGGACAAACCTGGAAAGGGAGCTGTGTTTCAAGTGGTATATTGACTAAAAATCTTAGGGACAGAGGGCTTTCCAAGCTTGCATACATGACCTGGTTTCAGGGTTCTGGGGGAAACTGGGCCTGCTTCAGGCAGCTTGAAGGGATGTGCTCTGTGTGGACTGAAAGAGGTAAAGGTGACAAACCACATGTTCCTTTTCCCCATTATGGAGTTCTGACAAAAAATTGGGGGAAAAATCCTAGTGAATGAGTCATATGATTCATTTATAAATTCTATCAGTACATTTATAATGCATTAAAATAAATCAGTTTAAAAGAAATTATAGAAACTAGGGTTAGAGGCAGGGGTCAGTTGATATCTCTTGCATTCAGTTAAAGAAAATCAGAGAACTTAGAAGAGACTGCTTGTTCCTGTTGTAACTGATTTGGTCCTAGCTCCCCCCTCCACCACTTCCACCAGTAGTGGGGTTTGAACTAATGCCTGGTCACTGTCACTTAGCTTCTTCCCTCAAGGATATGTGAGCCACAACTCTGCTTCTAGGTTTTTGGTGGCTAATTGGAGTATTAGAATCTCAAGGACTTGTCTGCCTGGGCTGGCTTCAAACCTTGATCCTCAGATCTCAGCCTCTAGAGTAACTAGGATAACAGGCATGAGTCACCAGCACCTGGCTGGTTGTTAGTTTTGAAATGGATTCAGAACTTTTCCCTAGAAGTGCTCCTAAACGATCATTGCAGCAAAAGTAAATGTCAGTTTGTTAGGAAAATGGAGGAGAAAGGAAGGAAACAGGCCAGACTCCATTTTCTACAGGCTAGGACTATTTATTGAGGAACACTGTTTATTGAGCAGAGCCTTCCCTCAGGCTTGGAGACTGTGTTGGGGGCAGGAGGAGTCAAGGTTTTTATGGAATCTGTTTAGTATGAAGGGTGAGGGGGTTGACTATAAGTGAGGGCAAAGAACCCTTATCCAAGATCTCAAGCATTTTAAATGCTCAACAGCTCTACATCTGTCTTGCCTAGATGGTTTGACCTTAACAGGGTCCAGTTCTGTCTTCCAATCTCTTAAATCTTTCCTGGCCTTGCAGCTGGGCCTCAGAGACTTGCAGCCTAGGCCCACAATAGAGTGGTCACAGCCAGGCTCATGTCAGATTGGCCTGCCTGCGTTTAGGACATCTGTGCAAACCTGGGTTTGTTCCTGGCATCTGTATGTGTCTGGGGTAATAGCGTAGGGAGTCAAGCCTCACAGTATACCCAAATAAATGTTCAAGGAACTCAAACTGTGTTCACTTGTTTTAATATGCTTCAGTATACCTACCTTTTATCTGTCAGTTGGTCAAAAAAATCACTGGTTTTGACAGTTTTTATAAAGTTCTGTTTTTATTTAAAAGACCATTGACTTCTTTTTCAGGAAGTTTGCAGGTAAGGTACAAGCTGGATAGACACAAAGAGGCTGATGTGTTGGACTTTGATTTTAAAAATCTGGCTGATGGGCACCTTCACCACTTGAAGATTCACAGAGCAGCATCTGTGATCTTTGTAGAGGTGAGACAGCAGTTCAGTGATGACAGCTTTAACTGAAAGTAACATATTTAAGATTCTACACCTTAATAATAGAGATACATAGTCAGCACTGTTTTTCCATTTGATGAGACATAACTTGTAATCAAGGTGTTTTGGTAACAATCAGACTGTCAAAATTATTACTAATATTTGACCATTTAAAATACCAACCTCAGGATTGGGTAGGTGACTCAAAAGATAGAGCCAATGCCTAGTGAGCACATCCCCAAGTTCAATATCCAGTTCTGTCCTAAAATACCAACCTCTCCTCACTGGTTTTACTTTACATGCAGGGAAGTGTCTAGTTTACTGTGGTAACTAATGGCACTATTTCTATGGGGAGTCCATTCCCCCTGGATTAAAAAAAAACAAAGGCTATAGCATTGCCTACATGAGAGAAAAAAAATCAAGACCTTGTTTTAACTGAGAGTATATTTTTAGAAATGCATTAACTATTCAAAAATACCATTTGATTTTAAGTAACTTGTTGTATTTCTTTGTGTATTATACTAGTCATAAATAAACTTTGAAGAAAAATAGAGGAAACAGATAGATAATGGGGAAAAACAGAATCTGAATTACTGAAGATATTATTTATGGAGAATATCATCTCTTTCTGGAAGCTGTTTTTTAATTCTTTCTGATAGCACTAACATATAGTTTATCTTTATTCATTTTTCTTGGATTTCAATACTCTTCCCATCAAAATTGCTCACATTTTGATGTCTGCTTCCTGTGGACCATTTAAAAGGTTGACAAGTATGCAAGGAAACAAGCCATCCTGTCATCAGGGACAGAATTCAGTGCTGTCAGATGCCTTGCGTTGGGGACAATTTCAGGTAAGTGGAAGAATGTTTCTACATGAGACATGCTTATATACAGCCTCAGGAAAATTAGGCTCTGTTCTTTTGAGATACCATCTTGATTATAGTCACTGAAAGGGTAGATACTGAATGTTGGTCAGTTGGTTGTCTTAATTTGGTCATTTCATACAATATTTAAAAAACCTCACCATTTTGACATATGATGTGACTTCTGTAATCCTAGCTAATAAGAAGGCTGAGATGTAAGAATACAGGCTCAGTAAAAAAAAAAGTTAAAAAAAGAATACATGCTCAGAAACCCTCTGAGTAGACAAATCTACAAGTCTTATATCTGAAAAATCAGCAAAAAGCCAGAAGTGGAGATATGGTTAAGTAGTATAGTGCCAGCCATGAGTGAAAAAGCTGAGCAAGAGTGTGAACTCCCTGAGTTCAAGGCCTAGTACCTTCAAAAATAAATAAACAAATATTACCACCCTGAATTCCATATATACTTACAATTAATATTTGTGAATATGTGTTTGTTTTTAAAATCACAAACTTTTTTCCAGGCATGGGGACAAACATAGAAAACACACACACACACACACACACACACACACACACACACACACACACAGAGTTCTCCACTCTGTCACTTCCAGTGTCTTACAGGAGAATAAGCGATGTTCATAAACCTTCATACCACCAGGTAGGAAGTTTCCTTTCATAAATAAAGTTGACAAAAGACTGTGTTTAGAGATAATTTGGCTTTAAATTTTAATGTCTTTGAAAGAAGATACAGTAGATAATAGAAACATACATTATATGATGGGGATATAAGTAATAACGTAGAATAATATGTGTTATCATATAAACTTTAAATTTCATACCAGTTAATTGTAGAGGACAAACCATAGAATTGAAGATGTTAATGTTGTTATTCATGAATGTTATATTCAAAAGCATGCCATAGGAGCTGTAAGAATTAAACTTGAAATTTAGTGAAGAACTTTATAGGCCAGAACAATTCAGTTAATTAAAACAATAAGCATTTATTTCATCTTCACCTACGAACACAAATCTTAAATCAAAAGCTAGCACAAATTTTCATGTTTTTGATAGGTTTAGGATTGCTTCTGCAGCTGTTCGGGAGGCTGAGATCTGAGGATCAGTGTTCAAGCAAGTCCATGAAACTCTTATCTCCAATTAACCCAGGACCAGCCTTGAGTTCAAATCCTAGTACCATCACACACACACACACACACACACACACACACACACACACACACACACACACAGATTGTTTCTGTTCTGATTGTGTTATTTCTTTGTAGTTATAGAAAACAATTCCATTTTTTCATTCAAATTTTTTGATCGGCTGTTTATATTTACCCAAATTTGAACAACACACAACATAAATGTGTTTTAAAACATTACATTTTGAATTTCAAAATAAATAATATATATGTATGTAAAATTCTAGTGAAAGAATGAGTTGGAAAAATCATTATAAAAATGATGGTATTATGTGTTTAAACAAGCTTTGACACGTGTTCACATTTAGAGATGGGTTGCTAGTCATTCCACTAATATGTACTAAAATAGACCAACAAATAGTGTAAAGAGGGAGCTATTACCTTTTAAAAGAGCTTTGTCCTAAATTATGACCAAGTTTTTCAGTGTGTGTGTGTGTGTGTGTGTGTGTCTGTGTGAGATGGTACTGGGGTTTCAACTCACGGCCTGGGCACTATCTCCGAATTTCTTTTGCTCAAAGCTAGTGCTATACCACTTGAGTCACAGTTCTACTTTCAGCTATTCTGCTCAGTCTGACTTTGAACCATGGTCCTCAGACCGTAGCCTCCTTACTTAAGTTTGTGATAGACAAAAAAATGTACTAATTCGGTTAAATTATAATGTTTTAAAGTTCATACACATTGTAGAATGGCTAAATCAAACTAATTAGCTTATATAAGTATTTATTAGAAGAACGATCGTCACTAAACCACATGAAAAAATCCTAAAATCTTATGTGAGCAATCTTTGTCAGTTCTTCCACGACAGCAGCCTTATTACTGTTCATGTTTGTTGCATTTGACTCATTAACTGTACTCAGTGTTGTGACAGAGACTTGCTTATTCAGTCCCCTTGAGATTCCCCAGCTCCATGTCAGAGCCTCTGAATGCTAAATCTTTCTAATTCTCTTTCACATCCCATCTTGCTCTTGAATAAAACCATTCACACTTTAGAGTAAATATCCCAACCTGGTTCATTGGGGATTTCAAGAGAAGTTTTTCTTTTTTTTAAATTTTTATTTATTTTTTATTGTGAAAATACTGTACAGAGGGGTTACAATTACATGGGCAAGATAATGAGTACATTTCTTATCAAGTATTGTAGCCTCCTCCTTTGTTTCCCCTTCCCATCCCTTCTAATCCTCTCCCTGACCCCTCCCTAACCTCCCCCCCCCCCACCAAAGTTGTAAAGTTCATTTTCGACATAACAATTTGTACTTCTCATTGTTGCAACGGGTCTAACAGTATCCTTATTTAAACAACTTGTTTTTCCCCTTCCCCTCCACAAATTATACCAACATCAAATACAGTGAAAGCAGGGGTTATATTGTGGGGTTAGGGACATGCAAAGCAACAAAGAAATAATCTTATAAATGTGTCAGAAACAATCGCATGAAAGAAAAAAAATATTTGAATACATATCTTAGGGTACATTTCCTTAACATCACCTTATCTGACCTTTTCTGCTTGACTCAGACATATACTAGATATTGCACATAAGGAAAACCATGGGACCTACGTTTCTTTGGGCTTGGCTTACTTCACTTAATATAATTTTTCCAAGTCTTTCCATTTCCTAACAAATGGGGCAATGTCATTCTTTCTGATGGAGGCATAGAATTCCATTGTGTATATATACCACATTTTCTTGATCCATTCATCTACTGAGGGGCATGTAGGTTGGTTCCATATCTTAGCTATAGCAAATAATGCTGCAATAAACATAGTTGTGCTGGTAGTTTTAGTGTGGTCTTGTTTGTAAACATTTGGGTAAATGCCCAAAAGTGGGATTTTTGGGTCATAGGGGAGCTCTATGTGGAGTCCTTTGAGGTGGTTGAACAAGTTTACACTCCCACCAACAAAGAAGTAAGGTTTGCTTCTGTCCACAACCCCTCCAACATCTGTTGTTGTTAGAGTTCTTGATTTTTGCAATTCTAACTGGGGTGAGGTGGTATCTCAATGTTGTTTTGATTTGCATTTCTTTTATGGCTAGGGAGGTTGAGCATTTCTTCATGTGTCTATTGGCCATCCTTCTTTCTTCTTCAGAGAAGTTTCTCTTTAAGCCTTTAGCCCACTTATTTATTGGGCAGTTGTTTCTTTGAGGATTTGTTATGGGGGATTAAATTTTTTTTTAATTTAATTTAATTTAATTTGTGAACATACTGTACAGAGGAGTTACAGTTACATGGGCAGGATAAGCGTACATTTCTTACCAAGCATTGCAGCCTCCTCCTTTGTTTACCCTTCACATCCCTTCCCAGCCTCCCCCCTCCCCCCCTAATCCCAATCCTTCTCCTCCCCCCCCCCCCCCCCCCCCCCGCACCACACCAACGTTGTAAAGCTCCTTTTGGACATGACAACTTGTACTTCTCATTGTTGCAACAGGTCCACCTGTATGCTTAAACAACTGGTTTTTCCCCATCTCCTCCACAAGTTATACTGACATCAAATATAGTGAAAGCAGGGGTTATACTGTGGGGGAGGGACATACAAAGCAACAAAGAGATAATCTTATAAATGTGTTAGAAACACATGCATGAAAGAAAAAAACATTAAAATACACATCTAAGGGTTCATTTTCCTGACATCACATTATCTGACCTTTTCCGCTTGACTCATACATATACTAGATATTACAAATAAGGGAAACCATGGGACCTACGTTTCTTTGGGCCTGGCTTACTTCACTTAATATAATTTTTTCCAAGTTTTTCCATTTCCTAACAAATGGGGCAATGTCATTCTTTCTGATGGAGGCATAGAATTCCATTGTGTATATATACCACATTTTCTTGATCCATTCATCTACTGAGGGGCATCTGGGTTGGTTCCATATCTTAGCTATGGTAAATAATGCTGCAATAAACATAGTTGTGCTGGTAGCTTTAGTGTGGTCTTGTTTGTAAACATTAGGGTAAATGCCCAAAAGTGGGATTGCTGGGTCATAGGGGAGCTCTATGTGAAGTCTTTTGAGGAACCTCTATACTGCTTTCCAAAGTGGTTGAACAAGTTTACATTCCCACCAACAATGAAGTAAGGTTCCTTTCTGTCCACATCCCCTCCAGCATCTGTTGTTGTTAGAGTTCTTGATTTTTGCCATTCTAACTGGAGTGAGGTGATATCTCAATGTTGTTTTGATTTGCATTTCTTTTATGGCTAGGGATGTTGAACATTTCTTCATGTGTCTATTGGCCATCCTTCTTTCTTCTTCAGAGAAGTTTCTCTTTAAGTCTTTCGCCCACTTATTTATTGGGCAGTTGTTTCTTTGAGGATTTGTTGTTGGGGGGTTTAATTTTTTGAGTTCCAAGTATATTTTAGATATGAGACCCTTGTCCGTTGTATGGCTAGTAAAGATCTTCTCCCAATCCGTGGGTTTTCTATTGATCTTGCTAGCTATGTCATTTGCCCTGCAGAAGCTCTGCAACCTTATGCAATCCCATTTGTCCAACCTTTCTTTGATTTGTTGTGTTTCCGAGTCTCTATTCAGAAAATTTCGGCCTGAGCCAAGGAGACCTAGGGTTTCTCCTATTCCATCCTGTAATGTTTTCAGAGTGTCTGCTTTGAGTTCAAGGTCTTTGATCCATTTGGAGTTGATTCTGGTGCAGGGTGATATATACGGATCTAGCTTAAGTTTTCTACATGTTGTTAACCAATTTTGCCAGCACCATTTACTGAAGAGGTTGTCTTTCTTCCATTCTATTGTTTTAGCTCCCTTATCGAAGATTAGATGGCTATAGGTCTGTA